ACGAGGCCCTTCCTTTGGCACAGGACTTGAGCTCGGGTAGGCTTGTGGTAGAGGACCTTTTGAAAGCAAAACTTGCTCAAGCTATGACGCTAGATGTTGAAGGAGTGGACGAGGAGAAGAGTTTGGGATCTTATGGGAGTAAGTTCCATCCGAGGCGCCAGCTCCCTCCACTAGCGATCTTTACCACTGCTAACAATTATCACAGTCGATTCTCTGAAGGCAACGGAGATGAGGAATTGGATCAACCGGGAATTCCATGTCGATCTTTCTATTTTCGAGATCCTCGCACCAACTCCAATTGCAAAGCTTGCAATGAGGATTCTTAAAGCATGCGACTTAGTAAACCATGATGCACTGGGATCATAAGGAGGAAAGCTGGCCTGTATGTCATTGTGCCTTTTTTTGGTTAGGTTTCCTTTCCCCTCTGCTTCTCACTTCTTTTCTGGATCGGCAACCAAGTATTCTTAATGGATGACTGCAGGGCGCTCGTTCGTTGAGGGGTCTATTGGAACATTACCAAGCCGGTAGCGTACCTAGTGAGTACCTTGACGGACATTTAAAGAAGACATCTTGATCTCATAAATTTCAAGTGGCATGACATCCCCTCGTGATATATTGACATTTATCACTAGTTGTGCTGTGGTAAACAGCTCAGTTGCGGAATAGTCGATTGCTATTTAGAATACCTCAGCGGCATAGTCTTGCTATCACACAGTCTTCCACTAGTAGTTTCCATTCCGTGTGATTCGGTGCCCATCCCATATTTCTCAGTCTATCAGCTCGACACTGCGCACTAACGCCCCAAAGTCCCGGGAGTTCAGGCATAAGATCGGCAAACTGGGGATATTGAAGTGACTCGCACTCCATGCCTCTGGAAATTCCATTATCTGCCCCATTCACGGCAGATTGAGCCGATTGAATAGTGCCCCCCGCGTGACGTGCTAAATCTCCCATCTCGAGTTGCCCTGCCTCGACGAAGAAGTATCCACCCAGGCTTTGTCTCGACTCATCTCTTTTCCATCGATCGACAATGAAATAAACAGCCGACGCCAGGTCTTGAGGAGACCCCCAGCTCCAAGTGTTGCGCCCATTTCCCATCATAAATGGACATCTGTCTTGACGACATAGGACAGCATCAACGTAGTTGTGCACGAAACCCCTCGTTCGCACTGGCCCTGTTCCATTTCCCACGGCGAACGGAAGACCCATAATCACTGCAGTGATATCTCCTTTGCCCTCTGCGGCGACAAGTTGAAGAAAAGCTCGTTCTTGTGCCACGTGCCAATGGTGAGTAGGGAGTGCCATAATTGTGTCGAGATCCGCGACATCGCTCATTGATCTTCCATTGGGAGGCTCTCCGAGTCGAAGATTCTTAGGATCTGCCAGAGAGATGATAGCACTCAGCATGATGAAGAGGGTTGGGCGCCGACCCACATCATGCTGCTCATCATGTCCATCTCCAGCCTTTGTCGCGGCAAGACCGGCTAGAAGAGATTTGACGCCCTCCTGGGTGTTTCGTGCAGCGTATATAATAATGTCTGACACCGTTGCAGCGTCATAGAGAAGCTTCTCATTACTCAGGTCGCCGAGTAGTGTATGGACTTCCGGATATGAAGTTGTAATGGTTTCGACAGCTGAAGGCGATCGCACAAGTGCAGAGACCCGAAGGGTGGCAGCGTTTGATACAGACCTCAGGTGAGAAAGAATCGAGCCACCTATGTAACCGGACGCACCGATAAGGAGAATTCTGACGGGGACTGGCTGGGCAGGCATCACGAGTATTTTCCCTTGGCTATTGCTGTGGCTGTGGCTGTGACGGGTTAGAGACCAGTCTTTCTTTCAAGGCGGGGATTACAGCTTGAAAGGAAACGGTGAATCTTACTTAAGATCCTGCAATAATTACATTAGGCTCAGACAGCCTCCACGAGACATCTACCTGTACGAGTTTGTTTGATGAGTCCATCACGGGCGCTTTCGGGTAATTGATTCTCATTGAAACATATAATGTAGTAGCTTATACATGTATTACATCGCGGCATTATCTTGTCGGTAAACAGTGCAAACGGTGTAAAGTTCAGGCGAATTTCCGTCGCGGTGACACCGCAAATGCCCGAGCTCACCAGAGGTCTATCGGGTAATTGTCGTGACAAAATTCGCTTCAAGGCTATTGATCCGAAAAACGACCGACGGTGCTCCTTGACTTTCGACCCAGATGGCGCGGACGTAACAGTTGTGTCCAACTAATTGGATATGTTATGGTTCAAGGAGCCTTTGTCATGACACTCCAGCAATAACGGTTTTGGCATGTCAATTCGAACATCGCAACTCACTTTAGTTCCGGACCCCAATCAAGACCGCCACCACGCAAACCCACACACGCTAATGTCTACACCAATGCCTAGCAGTATCTCAGCTTCTCTGAGGCAAACTGGACATGTTCAGTTGGGCCACATCGACTACCAGGCAACACTGAAGATTGTTACCTTACTCATTGTTATCTACTGGTGCCTTGTATGGATCTACCGCATCACTCTCCACCCCCTGGCTCATTACCCGGGTCCGAAGCTCTGGGCAACCACTTGTCTTGTGCAGACATTCTACGCTTTGCGTGGGGAGTTTGCATTCAAGGTCGCAGATTTACATACCAAGTATGGCCCCGTCGTTCGTCTGGGGCCGTCTGCGGTATCTTACATTGATGAAAAGGCCTGGGAGGATATCCATGGCCGACACGATGGGCGGAAACAATTGAAAAAGGCCAAGGAATTCGTGCCGACAAGCCCTCCGAACGGAGCCCAAGGGCTGGTATTTGTCAAGGATGACAATGCTCATGGACGGCTGAGGCGAAACTTTTCACACGGATTCTCCGACAAGGCTCTGCGTGACCAAGAGGATATCATAGGAGGATATTTCGAAAAGCTTGTCGCAAGAATTCGGCGGTCAAGTGATGACCACGAGCCAATCAATATGATGAGGTGGTATCAACTTACCACATTCGATATTGTTGGAGATCTCACGTATGGCGAAGATATCGGCTGCATGAACGATGATGCGCGCGACCTTCACGTAAGTCAAGTTCCACGGTTTCTGGTGGAATGCTTACTTATTAACGACAGAAATGGATTGAGAATTTGTATTACATTGTGAAAGCTATGTTCCTTCTCGGATTCATGCGAGATTTCTTCCGTCTTGACAAGCTGTTGCTCATCGTCATGACTTCTGATAAACTGCCCTTGAAGAAGAACAAACATCGACTTATGCTCATCGAAAAGTTGAACCGTCGGCTGGAGCGGAAAGAACCACGCAGCGATTTCATGGAGCATGTCATTCGCAATCTCAATACCCCGACGGGCATCACCTATGATGAGATGCTCATGACATCGTCCAATCTCCTCATGGCGGGTGCCGAGACAACAGCAATGACATTATCCGGTGCCACGTATCTACTTTGCAAGAATAAGCATGCGCTTGAAACTGTCACTGTAGAGGTCCGAGAAGCATTTGGGGCCGATCCAGCAAGGATCGCAATGACCACCACTACTGATCGTCACCTCCCTTACCTCCATGGCGTTATCGAAGAAACGCTTCGTTTGTTTCCCCCAGTTCCAACAACACTCCCACGCGCCACTCCGCCTGAAGGTCATTTCATCTGCGGGAACTTCGTTCCAGGGAATACGCAGGTATTCGTAAATCAACTGGCGGCATATCGGTGGCCGGAGCATTTCGCAGAATCTGTATCATTCAGGCCAGAGAGGTGGAATGTCCAAAACAAGGAACCAAAGTACGAGCATGATGCAAAGGGCGTTTTTAAGCCGTTCTCCACTGGACCACGGAACTGCATAGGGAGACATTTGGCGTATGCTGAAGTTCGTACACTGCTCGCTAAGATTCTTGTGGAGTTTGATATGGAACTGATGTCAGAGAGTATTGATTGGATGCAAAGTTTGAAGATTTACGGTGTTTGGGAGAAACGACCACTAATGATACGGTTCAAGCCTGTGACTCATAGGCCGTTAAAATGACGTTGGGCAAGAAAACAATCAGATTCATGCATATTAAGCAACTCGAGTTCCTCTGATAGATGATAAATTGCACGTAAGCCTTGCTAGCGACGAGGGCTGTGGTCCAGATAGCAGAAACTTGCATATTTTTGATGCGGCTAGGGAGTGCAGCGCTTGCGTTGCTAATGCTATCGAGTCTCTCAAATCCGCAATCTGAGCTGGAACAATAAACAGTTTACCTCATGACACGATGGTGTTTGTGGTAAAATTAAACGAGCGACGCAAACCTGTTTGTGAATGAACGTTGCCGCGCGACACAAAGTAATATGAGTCTAAACGGCGCTACTTGATTAACACGGTACTGCCTAATGAAGGCTTCATCAATCCCGTCATCGCTCATCCTTCACATCCAACGTTGAAGTGACACTGTTTAGGCTTGTGTTTGCAATTTCGAGCTGTTCTCTACCGAATGGACTATTCAAACCTGGGATAAAACAACTTTGCAGAGATCTCTGACACTCTCGCCGTTCAAGATACTCAAGACAGGCACAGTCACCTCCAACTCCTTGAAAAACCACGCTCTTAGATCAACGGCAACCAGTGAATCAATCCCAAGATCCATCAGGGGTACATCTGCGCGCAGTGACGAGCTTGAAAGCTGCATTGTGTCTTGTATCTGCGCAGAGAAGCAGCTGCTCAAGGTCGCCAGTCGCTCCTCGTCAGTGGTCGTTTTCGATAATTTCTCGCGTACATTCTTGGCCATGTCGGAGGTGCCGCCCGCAGACCCACCCGCGGCCCGATCATCAAATTTCTGACCCGCCCGGGCTGTGAAATGCCCGAACCTAGGATCTTTGTGCCATGCTGCCGATACAGGAGGCTGATCGATTGCGACAGCAGTTTCGGACCCGAGACCAACAATCACGTCACCAGTAGCGGATGCGTTTGGTGACCCTCTCAAAATGGCCTCATGGAAGGCATCCAAGACATCTCCTTCTCCGATGGCTAGAGTGTTGAATCCACGTAGGTTCGCGTGAACTGTCTGCAGGCTTGATGCTCCTGCATTAGCGAAATAGCCAACGCCGAAAACTGTTGAGAGATCGACAGTCGATGCAGCTAACCCTCTAGCGCGGCGACCGGCGACAACAGCGCGTCCATACATATTGCCAGCGCAGTAGTTGGACTGGCCTCTGATTCCAACGATCGCGGACATGCTGGACATGAAGATGAAAAAGTCCAAGTCGGTCTCGTGGTAGTATTGCTCAACCAAGTAAGTTCCTCTGACCTTTGGGGCCATTGTTGCCTGAAGTGTCTGGAACGACATGTTTTCTAACAAAGTGTCGTTGAGAACCATGGCCCCGAAAACGACTCCAGCCACAGGGTACATAGAGTCTCGAATGCGATCACAAACGTCTTTAACTGAGTGGGCGTTGGTGACATCCATAGAGAAAGAACGCACGATGGTTGCTCCCAGACTCTCCATTTCTTCAAGCCACACTTTTGGAATATTGGGCGCTCGACTTGCAAGTGCCACAGATCGCGCACCGTTCTGAATCATCCACTTCGCAACCGACAACCCTAGATCGCTTGTGATTCCAGCAAAGAGGTACGTTTTCTTGGGACTGAAAAGACATGCTGGATTGGGAAGAAGCGCACTACTGAGTTGGCCCGTAGGACTTTCGTCTCCTCCAGCCAGAGACCAGTCCAAAATTTGCGGATCTTTGGCCAGTAGGTAGATGGTCGCGTCGGAAACTGCCACGCGCTTTGGCGCTTTCAACTGACAGATGTCGTCCGATGAAGTCTGCAGATGAAGCTGCAAAATTCGGGAGGCCAAGGATATACTCTGGTCAACGATGGAATATGGTTGATCAGAATTCATATCCGTCCACATTGTACCAATTGCAGGTTTTGACTTCAGCCGGGGCAAATTGTCGTCGACGGGTTGTGATTCTAAAATTTCGAACCATCCATTCGGAAGGAGAAAGTGAGGTTTCTCTGAGTTGACTCCGGAAGCGACATCTGGGTCTCGGATGGATGTCCAATCGACATAGATACCGGATGTATGTCTGCGGAGCTGGGACCTCAGTCGTTGAGTTGAAACACATGGGTGAACGTAAGAGGCGATTCCACAACGTCCGGGTAGTACCCTTGCCATTTTTTCCCGTGCGGTAACCACGTACAGCCTCATGTCATGTTCCTGAGCAAGTTCTGAAATTGCAACCTCGAAAGCGTAATTGGGCTCGACGATCATTATCGCTGCTGAAGCAGGGAATGCCTCCACCGCCAGTCGGCACAACGTGCGTGCCGCGATGGTGTCTCTTAGAACCGACAGAAACACGACGTCTTGATCGATTAGTGTGAAGGGTTCAAGGCCTTCATATCGAAGAGGAATTTTCAGGGCACATTCCGAGCTGTGAAGGTGTTTTTTCGGACGCCTAGGGGTAAGGATGATGGATTTCTCTGGTTCACCGAGTGCCGTTACGTCAGGTTGACCTAGGGAGACATAGAATTGATCATCTCCCGTCGAATAAAACTGAACACAGCGTGAATGTGTCAGAGAAAGACGATAACTTGAACTGGCTGCTGGAAAGCATTCGCGTTCTGTGGATAAAGGCGGTGTCAATTGAGCCAGAGAACCATCAGACTCAGGAACAGGGCGGGAGCTTGAAACTGCATCTGGATGGTATGTGAGAAAGTTTTCGACTGCGCCTAGCACTGTGAGACACGAGTTGTTGGGCTCTTCATCATGTACGATCCCATCCCGACGGACAAGGTAACGCTGATTGGATATGTCAAGTGGCACCAGGCGTGGCAGAAGCAGACGACCACATTCGATTGCCATTTCAAACTCTGCAGAGTTCGTCCAAGTGACATTTTTTGAGTCGACATCAGATGCATCCTTCGACGACAAGAATCCCGCTTGCCAGACAATTCTGGAGATAAGCTGGATTGCATCAGAAGAGGTGCAGTCATCCACGTCAATGAAGCGAAGCCTGAGACCCGGGTTCTCGTATCTGGCGCAGCGGCCGAGCCCAACAATCATGTTTTGATTGGGATCCCGCCCATGCACACGCCCACTGGTAACCCAGAAGATATCGTGAGAGGTGCCGCTGAAAACAATTTTCAAGGCCTCCCAGTCAGCGGACGTAGGGCTACCTAGCAACGGGCTCTCGATGTCCGAGAGGACGATAACCATGCTGCTGGGAAGTAGCGAGCTGGCAGCAGCCGTTTGTAGCCCGTCTACAATCGTGACTGTAACGCGATCACCGCACACGCCGAGGATTCTTGTCTTTAACTCAAGAGCCATGCCATGGCTGATGGCGTTTTCTTCCTTGCCTTTGACAATGACAAGACTATTCGCAGAGAATTCGGTGGTTGATGTTGGAACGCACTCTCGGAATGCCATCCAGTCTTCGTCCGTTGCTCGAGCCACCATTACACTGGATAGATGGTCTTCCGGGTGTTCCATATCTCGGAATATGTGCTCTGTACCAGTCTGGAAACCGGAGGCTTGGAGTACCTCGTGCCACTTTCCCGTCGTCAACAAGGGGCTGAATGTCTCCCTTCGCCACCGGTCTTCAAAATACCACCAGCCCGGAACCGCGCCCATTAGATACGGTACGAGGACTTTGTCGACTGATGTGACTTCAAGGAGCAGAAGAAAGCCACCTGGCTTCAAGAGCTTCCGCACATTCTTCAGTGATGCTTCAATGTCCCTTGTAGCATGCAGAACATTTGAGGCAACGATTATGTCATACGTGGCCGGCGTCAATGCTTGATCCACAACGTCCGTCTCGATATCCAGAGTTTTGAATATCATCCGGCGAACCTCGTCTGCGAACTTGATCTTGGCTTGAGGAAAGAAACCGCTGGATATATCGGTAAACGTGTATGAGCCGTATGCGCCCCCAAGCCCCGTAAACATAGCCTGAGTGGCACCTCCGGTTCCGGCTCCAACCTGAGAGTCTCCGTCAGTATGACCGCCAGAAATATTTTGAATGATTCATACATACCTCGAGAATGTCACATCGTGGAAAACGATGGGCAATGAGACTTGCCACTCGACCGAGATACCGGTTGGCCCGCGCGTACATAGCTGGCTCGACGTATAAACGTGCAAGCATGTCATTTCGGAATAGTACTTCCAGAATTGTCTGACCATCTTCTTGCCGCATGACTCTCAGTATGTTTGCGGCAACTGCTTCGAGTATCTGGACTTCAACGCGATGTTTGATTCGGCCAACCCGGCGCATGAGGGAAGAGCGGCGCGCTGGATCACTTGCCCACGGGTTGACATAGTTAGAATGGGGGCCGCCCCCAGGACCTTCGAGACGGTGATGAAGCCACTCCCAGAATCGTCGGATGAACCAGGGCGTCCTCGTCTCATCGAATGCCTCAGCCATAGTGAAACTTTCGTAGACATTGCACATATAGTAATGTGCCAATTCTTCGACAGTTTCAAGGCCCTCAAGATCTCCAAGGGTGTCTGACTCCAGTTGAAAATCTCGTAAGGCGTCGTCAGGGTCAGGAGCCCATATTTCTTCGCAAAAGATGCCTTCCTGATACGAACCATGTGAAGGGACTAGGTTGACACACCGAAGATCCTCTACCTGGAATATCATGCGATATTGAAGTTGATTATTGCCCGGCCGTGGATTGACGCCGGGTGGGGGATCGAAAGCCAAACCTTCAACGGTCGCAGTCCAAGATGCGAGCGTGTTTCCTTCTGACACTCGTCTCAACTCCTCACGAATGCTGCGCCCTTTAATTGTAGCATCGAATAGGAATTCAGATTCAGTGTCCATGAACGCACGGTACGCTGAGAGTTGAACCCGTAATCGGCCGATAGTTCGAGGAAGATACGGTGCCAACAGTCTTCCATCACCGGGCGAAGCAAATGCCGCCAGTGATGTTTGAAATGCATTGTCGAGGGCGGCCACTGGGAAGCATGAGCTGGCCTCTTTTGTTTTCGGTGTATGTTCCCCCATTGCTTCTCCAATGTTTTGATCATGAGGCCTGGCCTTTGTGAGCGTGACATTCGCGTGCCGGACAGTGGACTTCGCTCGACCTAAGCATCGCCGCAAGGAATCCACTTGGAATGGAGCAGTATACTCAAGACCAACAATCTTATACGAGTCATATATCGAAGTTGTTGATATGGTGTGGAGATGGACAGGGTCGTCATGATACGGCGGCATGCCGCTGGTGAAAACAGATGACGATGGGAGTCGTAAATTTGCCACGAGATGGCCGTGGCAGGCAACGTAAGGCTCATTTAATCGAGCAGGCTCTCCAACGGCGGGAAGTTGGGCTTGAATCGAGAACGAAGCATGTATGGTTGAACTGTGTTTTAGCACAGTAGTTTTGGTCTGACTGGCATCCTTGATTCCATCCAGCACAATGTCGTGTAGCCGTATCAGGATGTCAATACCCTCCGTGTTCTTTTCGGAAAGCATCACAGCTCGTCCGAATTCCACATCTTGAAGCTCGATAACATCCAGCTCCAGGTCAGAGCTCGTTTGCGTCGATGATTCCTGACACAAGATTTTGATAAGGTCGCTGGTGGCATCCATGGCCATAACACAGTACCCAGCGGCTGGGAATACTATCTGGCCTTGCACTTTGTGCCCGCGAAGCCACGGAATCTCATTGACGCGAATTATCTGGCGCCATCGCCACTCTCCCAATCTCACCGATTCCGCGGACTTCCGGACAGCGCCGGTGTACGAACTGTCATACCTTAACCCCTGATCAATACAGTGACCAATGAGTGGAGATGACGGCTCCCGACGGAGAAGCTGTGACAGGCGAGCCGACTCGCGCCAATAAACGCGATCATGTAGCCATGCCATGGTTGGCAAGCCAGCAAGTGGAACTTGGCTTTTTTTGCTTGAGACGGACGTCGCGTCAAAGTCGATATTGATTCCCTTCTCCCACAGAAAGCCATAGACGCTGGACAAGCTATCCCGTTCATCCACGCCGCGGGCGAGAGTACCGCGATAGGCCAAATCTCCATTGGAAACGGTCAAGGTATCTACTACCTGTCGTCGAAGCGCTGGATGAGGGCCAACCTCCAAACCTGCCCGGACTTTCTTCAACTTTGCAAGCCTTTCCAGGGCGTCCCGAAAACGAACCGGAGCTAGCATATTCTCCACCCAGTACTGGGCCGAGTTCAATGACTGTGGAAGATTGTGCAGGTTGGCGTTCGAGATCGGCTCCCAATCCGTATGCACGCTAGATATCCAGACACAAGTTGGTCTGTTAGACGTTGGCTGCGGCCCATCAAGCCGACATCTCGAGAGTGCCTCACGATAGGCATCACCAGAAACTCTCATGTGAGGTGAGTGGTAGGCTTTGTCAACCCTTAGCATCTGAACTGGAACATTGCGATCCCTGAGCAAGGTCTGCATCTCTCTCAGCTTGTGTAAGTCGCCACTGAGTGTGACACTCCTCGGAGCGTTGTTGGCTGCGACACAGACATGGTCGCGGAACCCGAGCTGGCTGTCGGAGCAAAGAATTTGAGCATCATCCCATGAGATGCCAGCTGCAAGCATACCGCCTTTCCCTCCTTGGTCTCCATCAGTATCATGTGGACTGCGAGCGAGTTTGGAAAAGCGTCCTCGGTAATACGCCATTCGAATGGCATCGGCTGCTGATATGCAACCAACAGTGTAGGCTGCTGCAAGCTCACCCGAGCTGTGGCCGATAACAGCCGAGAAGTTGACGCCTACGGATCGTAGAGTATCGACCAGTGCAACCTGTACTGCAGTAGACAAAGGCTGCGCAAATTCAGCCTCAGCAATGCGAGATTCGCCGATTGGAGCTCGAAGCTCCGTACTGAGAGACCATTTGCTACTGCCAGAGAGTTCTTCCTCAACAGCCATGGTGTCTAATAATGCATTTTCCAGTCGGGCAATAGATTGCGCGAAGGCCGGGCATGCATCGAGAAGCTTGGCCCCCATCGTAGCCCATTGGGCACCCTGGCCTGTAAACACGCCCAGAATTTCCGGGCCTTCAGAGCCAGAGTTCCATGTTGTGGAAGAAACCCCGATGTGACTCCCATCGTGGTATGCCTTGACAGACGTACGCATCTGTTTCACCAGAATCGACCGCGAGCTGCCAGTGAACGATATCCCATATTCCAGGCGAGTCCGGCGCTTCTGAGTAGTCCAAGCAAGGCTGTCGAGGTTCACATCGGGATGAGCTTCAAGATAGTCGGCATACCTTGATACAAGAGATGCAAGGCTGGGCTCTTTCGCAGCAGAAATGACGATATTCACTGGTGGTTGTTTTGGGGTCTTCGGTGCTTTGTGAACATTGCCCTTTGACGCAATCGCATCGAATGACTCCAAGATTGCATGTGCATTTGTACCGCCGAACCCAAAAGAGTTTACAGAAGCACGACGTGGAATCTGTATGGCAGGATCTGTAGACTTTACAGGTTCTGGCCACGGTAAGTGTTCTGTTGGCACCAGGAGCTTACCCGGGCCGAGCATCGGCGCAATCTTAGGATTCGGTGTTCCCAGGTGGAGATTCGACGGGATGAACCCCTGGTGAAGCCCAAGGCATGCCTTGATAACCCCCGCGAGTCCTGCACAGCCTTCAAGGTGGCCTACAACGGTCTTCACTGAACCGACGTAGAGCTGCTCAGGGGGCGCGGATTGATTTGTTGGGGGGGTAAAGAAGGCGTCCCAGATGGCTTGAGCTTCTATCGGGTCACCAGCTGGCGTTCCCGTTCCATGAGCTTCAAAGAATTGGCATCGGTCTTCCGCTTTTCGCAGATCAAGCCCCGCTTTGGCATATGTCTCTCGTATTAAGTCGGTTTGCGCTGTGGAACTGGGCATTGTGATTCCAGTTGTACGTCCATCCTGGTTGACGCCAGTTTCACGCACAACGGCATAAATGCGATCTCCGTCATGCAAAGCTTGTGGCACTGTCTTGAGGATAACACAGGCGACACCCTCCCCGCGTGAGTACCCATCGGCGGCCGATGACCACATCTGGCATTTGCCAGTCGGAGAAAGCACTGCAAATTGGTAATTAGATTGGCCATCAAGCATCCAAAAATGAAAAGGCGTAAGTCCGACCTACTGTTTAAGTTGCTCGTCATGACGTACATATCAGGAGCTAGCAACAAATTTGTTCCTGCCGCAACAGCCATACTCGCCTCGCCAGACCGCAGCGCGTGGACCGCGTGGTGGAGAGCAACGAGTGACGAGGAACAGGCAGTATCAATGGTTTCGCTTGGGCCGTGCCAGTTGAAAAAGTAAGAAAGGCGATTACTCGCAATACTTCGAGCTCCCCCAGTCACAAGATAACGTGGAGCGCCATCGATGTCGCGAAGCTGCAAATCCTGCCAATCGGTTGACATAAGACCTACGTACGCAGCAGTCGAACTTCCTGAAGTTGCTTGGAGGGGTATTCCAGCGTCTTCTAAACCCTCATAGACTACTTCAAGCAACAAGCGATGCTATGCTTAGATTAGCAAGTACCCTCAAGGTCTGTGAAGAACACATCTCCGAAGCAAGGTTGTTACATGCCTGGGGGTCCATAGCCTCAGCTTCTCGGGGTCCGATGTTGAAGAATGCCGCATCGAAAGTTTGGATATCCTGGTCATCGAGGAAATACGAGCGTTGAGTGTTAGTCGTGCCATGATGTGCGGCATCCTCGTGGTAGAATCCGGACGCGCTGAACCGGGATGGAGGAATAGGCGCCGAGAGATCAAGCGGTTCGCTCAGCAAATCCCATAGCTGGGAGGGACTCGACACATTCCCAGGCAAGCGACATCCAATACCGACGATGGCAATGCTATCCTGGCGCTTGTCTCCATTCATATCATGAACAGGAAATTGTGAGCCATCATGCATCTTGTTGGTTTCGTGCTCACTAGTACCACTCATTGAATGTGGAGTAAACATGTTGACTGAAAGGGTGGATGGTTGTAATGGAGAACAGTAAGAGCGGTACACTGTCACTTAGGACTATTTTTCTCAGGATGATATTCACTCAGACTTAACAAGTAATAAGATTGAGCCTAACCCAAGTATTCTTGATAATGATGCGTCTGGTCCTTTCGTAGTTGGCAAAGAAAGCACGTGGTCGCTGAATAAACAGGCGTTGCGATTATCACCCGGTGCACATTTGAGGTGGGGACTCGAAAGACGCGGGTCATTTCGACGCACGCCAATAAGCCACCGCAGAAATCGGAACCTTTCCCCCGCCCCCACCAAGGGTGAAAGGCACCTGGAAATGGGCAATTGCAACTGAATCAACGAGACCTGTCACATCACTATGAAATCAGCTTTCCTGGCTATGATTGAGTTGTAATCGTTCTGAACCTGAGACAACACAGGTCAACACAAGATCAACACAGCAATCTCACCATTATGATTACCCACGCCCTGAAAACTTTCGCGCTGTTATTGTTTGGGAGCCTAGTCTTGTACGCAGGATGTCTAAGCTTCTACAACATCCTTCTCCATCCCCTCAAAGGTATTCCAGGACCCTTCGCCGCAAAGGTTAGCCGGCTTTGGCTTTTCTATTGGGATTACTCTGGGAATCCCCACCGCCATATCCGGGACTTACATGCAAAGTTCGGTGAGGCCACGGTCCTCCAGACATATTCAAGCTATGAGAGAGTGTTCTGTCTGACATGGTGCAGGCCCTCTTGTCCGCATCTCGCCCAATGAGGTCTCCATCGACGACGTCAAAGCAAACAATATAATATATTCCCAGACGAATCCATGGCTAAAGCCACACTACCATTATAAAGCATTCCAAAGTTCCAAAGCGTACAGCATTTTCACAGAACTGGATCCCGAAGTTCACGCTGCGCATCTTCGTCTAATAGCTCCAGCCTTTTCTCACGCTCGGATCACAGGCGTCGATGCTCAAAATATGCTTTGGGAGAAATGCTGTCTAATGATTGAAGCAATAAATCGCAACATGGGGCAAATCAATTCGAACGACGAGAAGCCCAAGCACCCCCAAGCCGCTGAGGTATGCTTGACAAAGATGTTCCGCAGTTTGTCACTGGACGTGGTGACGGAGTGGACATTTGGTCAATGTGCCAATAGCCTGAAAAGCTTCCATTCAGACTTGTTTGAAGTCTTCGATGTGGCAGCGGAAAGTGTGATATTCGTAAGAAAATATATCCGCTAGCTTCTTGGCCGATTACGGGAAGACTTCGGTTGCTAATAGTAATGGACTCAAAGTTTCAGCACATTCCCTTTTTACGGCGTCTCATACCATACATAGCGCCTTTGGTACCTAAACTGGTTCCGAACAAGCTGCTTGGTCAAGTAAGGCTCGCTTTCCATCTGATTCATGTACTTCAGAACCGTCATGCGTCTAGACGATGCTTCTCAATGTCTCGGCGATGGTGATGCTGATGGTATGAAGTATGCGCAGCAGGCTCTCGAAGCCACAAGGAGAAGAAGGACTGAGGCAACCGACTCAAATGTCGACGGCTCTGTTTTCAGCAACCTTGCATCAGAGGCATGGCAGAAAAAGCGGGGTTTTAAGCCCTCAGATGGCCAGATCATTTCTGATGGCATTGTCATCCTTGCAGCTG